TCTCACTACCTGAAACTGTGCTCATCCCTCTGGACCCAGCTCCTGAGCCTCCCAGTGCAGGGAGCCATTTCCCGGCCCCTTTTTCAGCAGAACCAGCACAGCTCTGGGCTCTGAGTCCCCACAACAGTTGGTTTATGCCCCCCTTTAGGTCCTGCGAGCAACTGCCTCATACCCACTTGTCTCCCCCAGCAGACTGTGTGCACCTGCAGGGCAGGGAGCCCACCTCCCTAACGTCCTGGTCCCCTACCTGCAGGTGGACCCTCTTGAGTAGCAGGTGCTCAGGGAACCCTTTCTGGACAGAACTGAATTGTCAGGGGCAGCATGCCAAGCTCTCCTGGCCCCACCCCCACTGCTGAGATAAAATGCAAACGAACAAGTGGCAGCAACACTGCTAAGAGGGACCTAAACTCGAAATGGCAGATCATAGGGGTTGCTTCCACAGCAAAGGGGGGAGACTCACCCCAATCTCCTCCCTACGCCAGCCCCTCACCATGCCCCTCGCACTCTCTACCTTACGGCTAAACTGGACTCACACCCACCCCAGGCAGGGCGGACAGCCTCACCCACCCCAATGCCTCTGCTCAGGGAGCCACTACCTGGACCAAGCCTACTTGAAGCGTGGTCCACAGACGGGTAACGTCATCTATAATGAGATAACAGAAGAGCACACAAACTTCTATAGCAATTCTGCATTGCAATGACTTTTATATTGTTTTTCCAAAGCAATAAACTGGGGGGGGGGGAATAACACCTGGTCTTTCACCACAGTCTGAGCACTGCTCCCCACCCCACCTGCTCCTGCTGAAACCTTGCTCATCCTCAGAGGCCCAGCTAAAATACCTTCTCCCAGAAGTCTTCCAGTTCCCACTAGCTAGAAGTGGTCTGACCTAGGGCCCCTAGACCAAACCACACTAAGGGCATTTAGGTGGTATCTGCGTGCCCCATATTTTAAGTTCTCTGAGGTCACGGACCTGGTCTTGTTCACCTTTCTATTCCCCACAATGCCTTTCTCAAGGCAGATAATCAACCAATCAATATGTGTTTAAACAAACAAAAAAATGCACCGCCATCCAGTCAATTCCCACTCATAGCAACCCTACAGGACAGAACGGAAATGCCCCATAGGGTTTCCAAGGAGCAGCTGGTAGATTTGAACTGCCGACATTTTGGTTTGTAGCCGAGCTCTTAACCATTGCACCACCAGGACTCCAATATTTGTGTAATGAGGAGTAAGTAACCAGATTCACCCATGATTCCAAAGCGGGCTTTTCAGGGGCAGAGCCTGGAGGCCCTGACTCTTGGGGCACACCAGGGATTTTCCAGGTTTGGACCAAACTCCACCCCTCTCCACTACTCCCACTCCCCCAGACTACCTCTTCTGCATATTCAACAAAGTAGGGGGCAGGGGGCAACAAAAAGCAAGTCTAAAAGGGGAGTCACTGCTTAGGGGAGCACTGAATTTCGGTTAATGGTGGTGAATACTTTGGAAGAGGATAGCAGTGATGGTTGCACAACATGATGAACGTAATCAATGTCACTAAACTGCACGTGTAAGAACTGTTGAGTTGGCAAATATTTTGTTATATGTATTTTTACCACATAAAAATAAATTTAAAAAAAAAAAGCAAGTAAAGCTCTCTCAAAACAAGAACTCCGTCACTATCCAACAACAGATTCTACAACACCCTTAGATGGCAATTTGAGTGCAAAACACTCATGAACTCTCTCATGAATTTTTCTATGCATGCACACACTGAAAATAAATCACACCCAAGTATGAGGAATAAAGATATTTCCGGGATCATTTCCAACTTTAAATATCCTATGGTCCCCTGACCTCAAAGTGAAATGTCAAACAAAGCAAAAGTCCTGTGATTCCACAGCAAACAACATGCTTGTGGACAGATCAATGGACACTCACTGGAGTTCCCAAAGTGTCTGGACAAGACCCTCTCCAGATCCTACAGAGAAGTATCTCACTCAGTATCCCGGCCCCACCACGGGGTCAGGGGACTCCAGCCCTCCCACCAATGCAATTCCAGAACGAGTAGGGTGACCTGGGCAGCCCTCACGCTCCCCCCAGCTCTCCTTACCACTGGCTCTCCCAAGTTCCTGGCTGTTATTCAGCAGGAATGCCGGAACTATTTGCAGATGCCACTGTCAAATCAAGACAACTCTTTAACCAAATATTTCTGTCTAATTTTGCACACTGCTCCAGTTTCAACTGACAAAGATAATGACTCAGTGTCCATGGCTCTTACCGGAAAATTACTCTGCCAAGTTTGGAGCTTCCCAATAATAGACTTCGCTAAACTTCTCTTAGAGAAGTGACCTCCCTGTTCTGATCCTTTTCTGCAAGCAACAAAGGGCACCCCAAAGACCCTCCAACTGACCAAGGAATGTTACAGGAAAATCCTGACACATCCCCACAGCATCAATTAACAACCAGAAAAGGAAATTCATGGTAGGGGCTTGGGATTTTTTCCTTGCACAGGCCTTATACAATAATCACTGTTTTTCACTTTTCTGTACCCCCATGAGTTTGGGACTTAGAAGTTTGAGGCATAAATTCCAGGCAAAATCTGGACTCAGAAGTAAAGCATCTTTCTCTGCATGAAAAGAAATGGCACACTATGACACTGCTGCTTCAATCAACTATAAACGAAAACCAAACCAAACCCATTGTTGTCAAGTCAATCTCAACTCAGAGTGACCCTACAGGACAGAGTAGAACAGCCCCATAGGGTTTCCACAGAGTGGCTGGTGGATTCGAACTGCCAACCTTTTTGGTTAGCAGCCAAGCTCTTGACCACTGCACCATCAGGGCCCCAACATGTCATAGTGCACCATCACCCTCCCAGACAGCCTCTCTAACAGGAGAGGCAGATGGTACATGTAAATACACACATGTATATGTGAGATGCAGCCAGATACTCACTCCTTGCACACACAGGTCTGACTCCCTCCCAAATCACAAGACACAGAGCTGTCTGAGCAAAAAGTGAGGGTGAGTGATGCGTTACCTTGGAAAAGCCACCTGTGAATAAAACCTTTCTGCCAGCATTTCGATAACTTAAACTTGTTTGCTTGCTATTTAAAAGCCATTCCAATAGTTTTCTCATATGACTATCCCCCAAAGTTCTCCAATGTCCCCAAGGACAAAAACCACCCATCTCCCATTTCTTTTACACTCCCCACGCAGCCAATCACTGCCGGACATCTAGCAGGCACCGTAAATGCCCACGGAGCTCAGCCTCCTATCTCTCCGCTGGCAGGTGGGGTCCCCTACAAAGCCCAATCTACATGACGGCCACCATTGGTTTTGGGCAGGGAACACAACACTACCCAACCACTCATGGACAGGTCTCAGAGAGGCCCCTGGAAACACGGAAAGATCTTTTTTGAGTCTTAGATCAGTGGTTCTCAACTCCTGTATGGAACATTTGGCAATATCTGGAGATATTTCTGCTTGTCACAGCTGGGAGAGGAAGTGCTACCAGCGTCTAGTGGGTAGACACCAGGGATTCTTCCACACATCTTACTACACACAGGACACCCCCCTACAACAAGAATTATCTGGTCCAAAATGTCAATAGTCCCATGGTTGAGAAACCCTGTCTTAAGGACGTTCTTGCTCTGAGGGACGTGCAGAGGTGCAGAAAACGCAAAAAACCAAAAACCAAACTTGTTGCCGTCAAGTCAATTCCCTACTCCTAGCGTCCCTACAGGACAGAGTAGAACCGCCCCATAGGGTTTCCAAGGAGTGCCTGGCGGATTCGAACTGCCGACCTTTTGGTTAGCGGCCGTAGCACTTAACCTTTTTCTCCGAGTTGCCTGAGGCCAGGCCAACACTTACAATCTTGCACTGTCTGCGTTATTTGCAAGGCTGAACAAAACTGCCCAAAGCCGCCCAAAGCCATTGCTTGAGTCTTAAAGATGCTGCTCCTGTGAGCCACCAGCTCTCCTTCGGTCTCTTTTCAGGACAGCCTTCCTCCAAGAGAGACAGTCTCCCAACAGTCCTCTTGCAGGGATAACCCACCTATCCACAGCATGACAACCGGCAGGCTGGCATCAATGCATGCTCAAACCCTTTGGCAAGGAGGTACGCCTAGCATGCCCAGGTCCTCATGCCTCTGTCACGCAGACCTAAGGCCCAAGTGAGCATGGACAAGTTTTCCAGTGGGCTGCAGGCCCGACCCAAGCTGGGAAGCTGCACAAATCTCACCCTTCAGAAGGTTTATATCTCTCACCCAAATGGAGGGTCTCGGCACCCAGACCTGCCCCTGTGGCGTTTCCTCCGGGGAACCCAAGCACATGGGAGAACTGGCCTGGGTTTGGCAGAAGGGGCTGTGTGGCCACTAAGCATCGAGTGGGGCCGAGGTTCGAGAGTTTAGGGAATTAAGCCCAAAGCACTCACAAGACCTCCAATGCTTGGAGAAGTAGCAGGAAAGACCAAAAAAAGGCAAAAGAAAGAACCCAAAGCCTCCACCTGTGAAACCCAACAGCTGGCTCCGGCAAAGGGAGTCAAAGTTCAGGCACAAATCTGCAGCATGAGGCAGTTAGAGTCCCTCAGTCACAGGGTGAAAAGTTGCACGGGGGTCCGCGAGTGACAAGAAACATTATCATGAGAAAACGAGGCAGTAAAGTTCTACTGGAGAACAAGAGGCGAGGAGTTTGGAGCGGCCGGTCACCCGGGCTTCCTTGAGCGTTCCGGGCACCCATGGCTCGGCACACGGGCCTCGTCCCCTCCTCCAGGCTGGCCCAGTAGGGCCAAGGTGGGCGCGGAGGTAGGAGACAGCTATAGAACCCCCATCCCGCATCCTGAGGTGCACCCACCGCGCCGCGACCCCGCAGCTCGCGGCAACTGAAACTCGCCAAAGGGAAGCTGCACTGGCACTTGAAGAGGATGCAAGAAGGGCCCAGGCGTGTGGTGACCCGAGCTCTGGCCGCAGCCAGACAGCGCCCCGAGCGCGCGGCAGGCCGGAGGGCAATAGCCTTACCCGGCTGCAGGACTCTGGGATCCACGGTCACCTTCGCGGTACCTCCCCGCGCTGCGCTGGCGCCCAGCACGCGGTCTGAACCTGTTTACCAACTCGCCCGCGCCCAGGGAGACCCAGCGCCGGGCCGGCCCCCACCCCGCCGGCCGCTCCAATTGGCTGCGCAGCGGTTGCCGACCGTACGCCGCGCAACGCCTGGGAGCGTGCTCGGCCCGTGCGCCCGGCCCGCGACCAATCGGGACCGGGGGCGGAGCGAGGGGAGCCAATGGGAGGCCTCCCTAGCAGCCGGGTCCCCTCCCATTTTCACCTCTGGCACCTCCCAGCTGTCCTTTCCCCTCTGGGGAATGCCCGGGGTGAAGGTCTGCTGTGGGGTTGCTGGGCGCAGTGCGCGTGCGTTCAGAGAACTGGCTCTCTTCCGCGGGGAGGTGGTGTAAGTGGCCGCAGGGGCGGACCGTTTGTCTGTCCTCTCCCTCCTGCTCTCTGGGATTTAGAAGCCGAGACTCCGAGCAGGCCTGGGAAGGGAGGCCGTGGAAGGACGGGGCTGCGGCCGGCCGTGGAGGGCGTAGCTCTCCGAGGACGGGCGAGGCCTGCCCCTTGCTCCGCCTTATGTAACTAGGGCCCCTTTCCCAGTTTCCGCAAAAAGCGCTTGGAGAACTGGAAAATGCGGCTGGCCAGGCTGATTGCATTTCCACTTCTGGTGTCCCAGACCCCTGTGTTCAGCTTTGTTCTCAAGCTAACGTGTGTTAGCTTTCGTGTGGGCGCCACCCTCAAAACAAGAAGCTCGCAGAGACCTTGACGTCATGAACCTTCCACCACTGCCCCGGGGCTGGGGCACGGCGAGGCCGTGGTGGTAGCGGGGTTTTAAGCTCCTGGCTTGGGGCAGAGGGTAAAGAGTCGTTTGTTCTTGCCCACGAGTCTCTTCTAACAAACCAGTGGACAGGCTAACACTTGGAAAGAGAGGAACTCGGCCGTTTAGTCAGGAGCGGATTTGTAACGGGCATTTTCTCCTATGTCAGCCCGGTTAACGCGCAGAACAACCCTGTGACGGTTGCCATGAGCAAACAAACTTGCCCCAAAACAGTGTTCTGGTTAACGAGAGAGATTTGAGCCAAGATCTGAAAATTTCCACTCAGGTGATTCCCAAACACCGGTCTGAAGCCCTGTCCAATGTTGTTAGTGGTTCTTGTGGAAAAGAGAAAAATAGGAAAAATTTAGTCAATTTGTCATAAAACTAAGGAGAAAGAATTGTCCTGTATTCTGAGATTTTATTTCTTGGTGTTAATTTTTTTAATGAAACAATGGTTTATTTTGATATTGTTACCTGGAAAAATTAAAAGTTAACCATTCTATGTTGATGCCTAAAATTTGGTGTCTGCGTGGGGGGCGGGGTGTTTATTGTAATGAACTCTAATCGTGAATCTAACCTCAAGAGTACCTCACTGACCACTTAGAGTTTGGCTGCCCAGTGGTCCGACCTGAGTCCCTGGGTAGTGCAAATGGTTAACACCGAAAGTTTGGAAGCTCTGGTCCACGCAGAGGTGCCTCAGAAGAAAGGTCTGGTGATCTGGTTCAGCCGTTGAAAATCCTATGGAGCACAGTTCTACTCTGACACACGTTGGGTCGCCATGAGTCATAGTCAATACCACAGCAATTAGTTTTTGGTTCCCTGAAGAACAGAATTCTATGTGTGTGCTCACACCTATCAGTAATTACACTGAATGTAAATGGCCTAAATGCACCCATAAAGAGGTGGAGAGTGACAGAATGGATAAAAAAACAGGATCCATCAATATTCTGTCTACAAGAGACATACCTTAGAAACAAAGACATAAATTTATTAAAAATCAAAGGATGGAAAAAAATATATCAAGCAAACAGCTACCAAAACAGAGCAGCAGTGGCAATACTAATCTCATAAAACAGACTTTAAAACAAAATCCACCATACAAGACAAAGAAGGACACTATATAATGATTAAGGGGATGATCCATCATGAAGACATAACCATAATAAACATCTACACACCCAATGACAGGGCTCCAAAATACATAAACCAACAGCACTGAAAAGAGAAATTGCCAGTTCCACAATAATAGTAGGAGACTTCAACACACCACTCTCGGTAAAGGACAGAACATCTAGAAAGAAACTCAGCAAAGATACAGAAGAGCTAAAGGGCACAATCAGACAACTTGACCTCATAGACGTATATTGAACACTCCACCCAACAGCTACAAAATACACATTCTTTTCCACTGCACATGGAACATTCTCCAGAATAGACCACATCTTAGGCCACAGAGCAATCCTCAACAAGACCCAAAAAGTTGGGATAATACAAAGTATCTTCTCTGACCACAAGGGCATCAAGGTAGAAATTAACAACAGGAAGAGCAAGGAAAAAAAAATCAATTACATGGAAACTGAATAACACCCTGCTTACACATCACTGGGTAATAGAAGAAATCAGAGAAAGAATCAAAAAATTCCTAGAATCAAATGAGAATGAAAACGCATCATACCAAAACCTTTGGGACACAGCAAAGGCAGTCCTCAGATGACAATTTTTAGCAATGGATGCGCACATCAAAAAAAGAATCTAAGTGTGTGAGTGAACACAGTTGTGAGCTCTGTGTCAAGCTCCCTTCTTTCTGGGAGGCAAAGAGCAAGGGACTATCTTCCAAGGAGAATGGAGACTGCACTTTGTAGCTACTCTGCTGAGTAATTGTGCACTGGCGGGTATGCCTCTGCACAGGTATTCACAGGGCTGTTTCCCTTTCACCCGCCCCACCACAGTCCAAATTGTGCTTCCTCCGTCTTCACACTAAATGCAAAGGAAATTTTGAGGGCAAATTAAAGAGTTATTTTGACTAAAGTTTCAAGTAACTGCCTGTTAACAGTCCAGGACTAAGAACAGGAGCTTGCCTTGATTAGGGCAGCCAGCTCCCTTTTACCACACAGCTGGGCTTAGCCTTCAAAGGGGGTCCATTGCTTCCTCCTACACTAACTGTCCCTTTATACTGCCTTGCGTTCCTCCACGCCATCCCAGCCCTTGGAATAATGGGATCCTCTGTTCATTCCTTCATATACCATATAAACTATACCCCTATCAAACTTCATTTGGGTGAAGGTATGGTTTTCATCAGCTCCTGCTTCCTGCTGATGGAAGGAGGAAAGGATGTGGTGCTGTGGTTCCACAGACATGGGGAGCGAATTGGCTGCTTCCATGTTGGTTTAGTCCTGCTCCACCATGCCAGGGGCACTTCTCTCCTATAATGCCTGAAGACAAACACAACCCACCATCAAACACTAGCTTTCTTCAAGGACCATCAGTATAGTTTACCAGAGAAATGGCTCCCATTTTATGCAAAGAAGACCTCTGTCAGGTTATTATAATTTTGATCTTACTCCTTGAGAAATAATGATCTCAGCTTTATTTTACTAAAAACACATTTCTGTCTTTTCTGACCTGATTTTTATTACATAGACTCCTCCATTACTATGAATTAAAGATTCCTACAAATTATTTTTAGGTGTGATAATGGCATCATAGTTACGAGTTTTCGTTTTGTTTTGTTTTTGAGTCCTTATGTTTTAGAGATAAAATAAAATATAAGAGGAAATAAAATGATGTATGAGATTCACCTCAAAATATTACAGGGCTAGGCGGAAGCAAATGGGCCATGAGTTGATGATTGCAGAAGGGCAGTGATGGGTATATCAAGGTTCATTGTATTGTCTTTTTATATATGTTTGCAAGTCTCCATAATAAAAAGTTAAAAAAAAAAAAGATACTTGAAAAGAAAGACCAGATTGAAGACAGCGCAATAGCACTAATAATTCAGGTGAACAACAGGAAAACAACAAATAACAGTCATTACTACTCTTCTTGGTATAAGCTCTTTGTCAGCCTCACTACAAGGTAAGTTCTAACTGGAATTGACAAGAAGACAGCCAGAAAACTCAAACTTCGGAAGAAGACATTGGAAACATGGATTTCATTCACTATGTTCCTCACTCTAACAGGATATTTTGCCTTGTAGTAGTAGCTAATGATCACACGATGCCATCATAATTAACAAGACATTTTTAAAAAATGTGTCTTAGACTTCTAAAAAATTATATTTTTGTTTATATTTTATAGTGGCATAAAATATTAGTAGATAAACAAATGTGTGTGTCTATGTTCATATATATATATATGAATAACCAAAAGCACCTGTGCCTGGACCTTTGGGTGAGAAATATGATGCTCCAATAATTCCCATCTGATCTCTAAATTTCTTTCTTAATAACAGAGAAGAGGCACTTGCCAGTCTTTCCCACTCTGCTGAATCATTCCCTTCAGCATACAAACCTGTTGTAATAACTCTTTCTCTTTACCTCAATCCCTATTTCTCTGCTCCCCTATTCAGCAAAACTCCTGGAAGAATGATCTACATTGTCTCCGCTTCCTTTTCTCTCATTCTACCTGAACCAATCTAGTCAAAATTTGCCCCCCATAATTCCCCTAAACTGCTCTTCAAGGTCACCACTGGCCTCGGTGTTGCCAAATCAAGTAGTCAATTCTCAGATCCCATCTTAGACTATCAGCCAGATTTTACACAGTTTATCATTCCCTCCATCTTTCTTAGTGGCAGCCCTCAGGATTAAAATTAACATTTTAACTCATAACAATCTAGTTCAAATTAATGCCAGTTTAATTTCTTCTTATTTTTTCTACATACTCTTTTTTTTCTTTTTAACATTTTAGTGTGTTTTAGGTGAAAGTGTACACAGCAAATTAATTTCCCATTCAACAACTCGTACACAAATAGTTCCATGACATTGGTTGCTATCCCCGCAATGTGTCGGCCCTCTCCCCGTTTCCACCCTGCCTTCCCTGTTTCCATCCCTCCAGTTTCCCTGCCCCCCTTTCCTTCTCATCTTTGTTTTTGGGCAAGTGTTGCCCGTTTGGTCTCCTATAGTTGATTGTACTAAAGAGCACATTCCTCACAGGTGTTATTGTTTATTTTATAGGCCAATCTATTATTTGGCTGAAAGGTGACCTCCAGGAGTGGCTTCAGTTCCAGGTTAAGAGTGTCTTAGTGATAGTCTCAGAGGTTCCTCCAGTC